GGCGGCTTTCAGCCCATGAATTGTTTTCGTTGAAACGTGATATTTAGGGAAAATGATACAAATAGTTCCTGAATTTTGACTCAATATGTAATTTGATCCCTGAACTTTTAATTTATTCAATGTAGTCCCTAAACTTTAACCTAATATTCAATTTGATCCCTGAACTTTTGATTTGTTCAATGTAGTCCCTGAACTTTTAATATGTGTTCAATTTAGTCCCTGAACTATTTTAAAATGTTCAATGCAGTTCTTCCATTAATTCAAGTGCAGGGACTATATTGAACATTTTTTATATAGTTCAGGGACTAAATTGAACACATATTAAAAGTTCAGGGACCACATTGAACAAATTAAAAGTTCAGGGACCAAATTGAACATTATTTTAAAGTTCAGGGACTACATTGAACAAATTAAAAGTTCGGGGACCAAGTTGCATATTGAGTCAAAGTTCAGGGACTGTTTGTATTATTTTTCCTAATATTTATCTAGAAAGACCTGTTTGTATAAAAAAAAAATTATATATAAACATATGCATCAACATTTGCATCGTGCCGATGTTTCGAGTGTTTCGAATTTAAGGAGAAATCAAAGTTGCATGAATCAAGTAGTACTCAAATGAAGCAAAAGATAAAAAGAAATATGAGTCACTCCAAAAAGGCAGTTGATCCTCCATTTCAATTTATAATTCTGAAAACTTTCTCACATCTCTTCCCGCACCTTAATTCGAATTTCGTACCCAATCCGCATCGCCTTATTCTTTATCCTTTAGCCGGCCAGAAAAACGATATTACTAATAGAGGAAGTACCATAAGAAGTGAAAAGATCTAATTCGTCAGGGATAACAAAAATGAAAAACCCTCTATTTTCTTGTTGAGTTTGAGTACACACATGATTAAATTACATATTTTTGCCGTTGCGTGACTTTAGCTCGGTAGAACTAAATAGAGGAAACATATGCACTAAATAAAATATAATAAATAAAGAAATAACTTTGGAGAAAATTACCTAATCAATTCTAAACTTATTATATAGATATCGATTCAGTCCTAAACTTTTTCATTTTACCAATTTAGTCCTAAACATTTTCAATATAGTCTTTCCGATCAAATTTCTCCGGAAAAAGCTAACGTGGCAATCTAGTCATCGCCTTCCTACGTGGCACACCACCATGCTGGCGATTTTCAACGAAAATCGGTCGGAAGTATCATATTAGAAGTTTGCACAAAGGCTCGAGATTAAATCGGCAGAATTAAAATATTTAGGACCGAATTGACATACATGCAATTGATTGAGAGCTGATGAAACAATTTCCCGGACAATTCTACCGATTGTCACTATTGGTTTTTTTGGTCGGTTTGTCACTCTCGTTCGAAAGTGACTTCACCAACCATTTCTTAAGCAATTTGTGAAACTAGTCATGGTGAGAATACGACATGTTGGACTTAGACAAAGTATGTGCGAACACAAGAAAAGCCATTAGAACCTAAGCATGTCCTTAAAAGGCTTCGTCTCAATTAAATCCGGATTTTGGGATCAATGGGATGTAAAATAATTAGAGGATATTCTCTCTTCCTAGTGAAGACAAATATACATGGGGAATTGAGGAGTGCGGAGCGTGCGGACACCAACACATTAAAATAAGGAACGCATATGTGGAGCCCACACTGCATGAGAATAGGCCGTGGACTTGACACGATGCGTGTGAACACAAGAAAAGCCATTGAACCTAGTTCAATACATTCCTTACATTATGATCCCATTTTCATCTATGATGTGATGGTTAAAGCATTCGTCTAATCTCCTTTTCCCAAGTGTATATGCATTTTTTCCCGACAGCCGTCTAATTTGTGCGTGAGGAAATATACTTCCGAACGAAAGCAAATATCGTGGCTTCATCAGTTGAATATAGAGCAGTAGGTTTTGGATATGTTGGACATGATCTCGACGACGGTCGAAAATTGCGATTTGACCTCAGTCATCATAATTTTCTAAGTCCAACATATGCTGACACATATGCGAGGGGAGTCAAGATTGGCTCCTCTTTCTTGCACACGTGTACTCTCCAATCACCGGCCACTGACGATGCAATCATCTCGAAGAAAAGTAAGCTCCGTTTATTTCACGAAAAATAAATTATTTAAAAAAATTATTTATATCGTTTGAAATAATTAGTCAATGAAATATTTCTTTTTATTATCGATAATAATTTATGTTTAAACATTTCGTGGACGGTGAACATATTTTTCTTTCATTTATTTTGTACTCAATATAAATGATCATTTTCAGGAAATACTTTCCAAATTATTCATTTTTCATAGAACAAACACACCCTTAGAATGATAAGAAAGTTGATTGCTAATAGTTTTGTGGATCAGAAGGTGTAAAGAGTTTGGATATAGCTTTCCATAGCATGATTTCCTGCCTTATTTTCATAACATGAAACATCCTATTAAAATCGCATATATAGATGCATAGGAGGGTTCTCTTAACTTTACACATTTCGTTAAATCGTGTCTTCATCTACCAACTTGAACTTCTAGAATAATGTTACATGGTGTCCGAGCGGAGATCCCGAATTCAAAAGATTTTATGACGACCTCCTAATGTTAATAGGCGTTGGTAGGCCTTGGTTGTACATCCACACACAAAATGTATCCACGTGAAGATATAACAATTGGATATAGTCGTGGCAACATTACGTGAGAAAGAAGTATACGAGGGTAAGAAGCTCTCGAATTTGGCTCCTCTGATTGGAAAATGTAGCATTTATTTGAATTTGGCTCCTCATCCATACACCATGACTAGTGTAGAGAGTCGACTACTATAACTGATCATACATGCTTGTTATGTGGGGGTGAAGCTGAGTCAAGCTACTAGTGAGTAGCCCGCGACTTAGGCCGATGATTATTCAAGGTCGACTCTCCTGATTTCAAGTCGAGCTCAAGCTACTCGAGTATCTTATTGAGTCGAGCTCGAACTCGCCCAAGGACAAATCTATAAAAAAAATTTCCGGTAGGGGCAAAATTTGGTCAATGATTATTTTGGAAACTAATAAATGGCTATTACACTTCAAAACTATGATGAGTTTGGACATAATGTATGGTTTGTTTATCTTTAACAACCACGTTTTCATGATTCAAAATTTTTATTAAAATGTATCGATTTGTAGGGGAAAATGAAAATGAATACATTTACTATAGATTTAGTAATGTATTCTGCAAGCAATTTAATGGTGGCAAAAGCTATTTTTTAGGTAAAAAAAGTGTACCATAATTCAAAAACCTTAGCTATTTTAACGTTTAAAAAAATCTGAGTGGGGTTGAGAGCCCCCGCCCCCCCACTAGTTTATATTCAGGTTCTTCCTTGAGCTCGTGAATACTCAAAATCGACAGGCTCACGAGTCTAATAGAATTCCTAATGTTTTTTTTTTTTCAAACAACATTAACAGTCATAAAAAGTAAACTCAAGATTGGTTGTAATCGAGTTGAGTTAAATGAAGCTCGAGCATCTCGATTTCTTATCCGAGTAAAAATTTCAAGACTTGATTGAGCTCAAGTAGAGTTTCGAGCTCCGATTATACGGGTCAAGCTCGAGTTCAACACTATATGGGTTCAATTCGACTATATCCCTAGAAGTGTCACCAACGGCACATATGGAATGAGAAAGCCCCTTCAACATAGCGTGACTAGGCCTAACAATATCAATGAGTAGCATCAAGTGTTTAAAATCAGGCCATATGCCGATATACTAAATGAGGTGCACTAAGGATTAAAATAACCGGCGGACCATGTTTGGCACTCATTAACAATGCGACGTACTCAAGTCCCATATCAGACGAGAGAGGACCGCCTCGAATGTACACTTCGTGAGTTCTTTTAACACAAAGCCCACATAGATGGAACCAAATTGCTACAAATTATTCGCCACCCAAATTTAATAATATCAGTCTTATATATAATATTACCAAGCCCCCCCAAATTCAGATAACTGAAAGCAAGAAAACAGAACGGGAAACAAGGACATTTGCCTCAACAGCATTCTGTCTTTTACAAAAGCGGCTAAGTGCATGTTTTACTATTGCATCCATGTGACGAGCCAGAAGAAGAAGCAACTAGCTACACAGCAAAAACAGACTAACATGTCTACCTAACATAGGAGGTGAAATTGGACTTGAATTTAAATTTCTCCTCGACTGTGCAAATTTGGACTCACACCCAATTAAACAATGCCCACCCATTCCTCTCTCACATGCCCTCGAATAAGATAAGTTTGTTTATAATCTATAAATTACGCGATTTCTTCGAATTAGAGCCGTGATTTTGTACCCAAAAAAGGTGGTTAGTCGATAATCTACCCACTAAGGCCCCGTTTGGTTCAGCATTGGGAATGCTCATTTGGCCTTAAATGAGCATTCCCAAAATGCTGAACCAAACGGTTCAGCATTAGAGTTCCAAATGCTCATTTGGTAGCATTTGGAATGCTGACTGTTCCCCAAAAAAAAAATTTCTTCTTTAGCAAAGCGTGGCCAGGCGGTCGCGCGACCCGGGCGACGGCCGCCTATGGTCCGGCGACCACCCGGGCGCCGTCGGCCCGGTCGCGCGACCCCGGGCGACGATGGCTGGGTCGAGCGACCCCAAGCGGCCGTCGCTGGGTCGTGCGACCGCCCAGGCGCCGTCACCTGGGTCGCGCGACCCCAGGCGGCCGTCACCTGAGGTTGCGCGACCTTGGGCCTCCTCGGGCGACGGCCGCTGGCGCTAGATCTGGCTTGCCGGCGGCCGTAGCTCTTCGCCCGAGCCGGCGAAGGGTACTTTAAAAAAAAAAAAAAAACCTCCCAAAGCCCATTTGTAAAAAGAAATAACCAAACACAATTGCATTTCCCCAAATGGCTTTAAAATAATTTTTTACCAAACGCCATTTGCATTTTTTCAAGTGACTTTCACCTAAAGGTATTTGCATTCCCTAATGAACATTCTAAAAGCTGAACCAAACGGGCCCTAAATTCCTTTCGCTTTATGGCAATAGCATTGAATTCTCAGCTTCTTCGCCATCCTCATGAGACCTCCAAAATTGACTTGCACCATCATGCTGATCACGATCGCCATCGCCGGCGGTCACATTTTCTCTAGTGAGCTCTTGGGCTTTCCGTGCCTCGCCTTCCCAGTCGGTCCGGACCAAGACGAGCAACATGGTCACGACGCACGTGCCCTGCGCCGCCAATAGCCCAAGCCACAGCCCCTTGAAGTCCAACCCGGCAAAGAAACTCAGCCACACGGCAATCGGCATGCCGACCAGATAGAAGCAACCCAAGTTGATGTTCGCCCCCATCTTCGGCCTCGCAGTCCCTCTGAGAACGCCGCAACCCGTCGTCTGCGGGCAGTTCCCAAGCTCGCACAGCCCTATCATTGGCAAGACCATGGAGGTCAAGGCCACGATGTCAGCATCCTGAGTAAACATCCTCGCCCACGTGTGCCTCACCATCGTAGTGAACACCAAGGCAGCGAGCCCCAACACAAAGCTAAAAGCCAGCCCCACGATCATCGCCAGCCTTGCCTTGTCAGGTTGGCCTGCCCCGAGCTCGTTCCCGACCCTCGTCGACACACCGAAGCTCAGTGATGACGGGAAGATGTAAATCAGCGCCGTTGTCTGGATCAAAACCCCCATCGAGGCAACAGTGGCTCGGGGATTCAGCAAATACCCGCATAGCAAGATCATGATCTCGTACCACCACCACTCAAGGCAGACTGAGATGCAGCTCGGGACCGCCAAGTCCACGAGGGACTTGAACCCCTTGAGGCATTCCGATGAGACCCCGCCCCACGTCTTCTCGTACACGCCGGAGATTAGTATATAAACGATCAGCAATGACACAAGATTGATATTGGTCCAGACAGCAGCGAGCGCGACACCTTTGATCCCGAGGCCGAGCACATTGACGAGGATGTAATTGATAGGGACGTGGAGGATAATAGCCTGAGCAGCACAGTACGTGAGCGGCATTGTAATGGACTGCGAGCGGAGGTATATGCGCAGTGGGTGCAAGAGCGACTGCGCGGCAAGGTCGGGGAGCGAGTAGAGGATGTACAACTGAGCCTGAGACGAGATGTCGTCTTGTTGCCCAAAAAACAGGAGGATTCGCTTCATGTTGAGCCACAGGAAAGAGATGGGGATCGAAGTCAGGAGGAGCAAAAGGATAGCCCTCTGCATGGTGAGGCCGAGGAGCTTGTACCGGCGGGCCCCGAAGGCCTGGCCACAGATGGGCTCCATCCCCATGGCGAGGCCAGAGAGGACGGAGTATCCCGTGATGTTGGCGAAGCCGATGGCGAGGGACCCGCCAGCAAGGGCGAGGTCGCCGAGGCGGCCGAGGAAGATCATCGAGATGGCCGAGCGGGCATAGATCAGGAGGCCGGCCAAGACCATGGGGACGGCTATCGCGGACACGGACCGGCCCTCCTCGAGCAGGGGGGTAAGACGGGGCTTGCCGGGGTCCCCGGCGCCGTGATCATTGGGATCCTTCCACGGGGCTTCGGAGACCAAGGTCCCCCACATGTCGGGCTCGCCTTAATCTAATCTGGTCGGGCGAGGAATGTTTGTCTGGTGAAAGACAGAGGGTGAAGGAGGAGGATGATTTGTAGGTGTTTGTAACAGAGCGAGAGAGAGAGAGAGAGAGAGAGAGAGTCTCAGGGTGATGAATGAGTGAGGCCAGATTTAAAGAGGGAGGAAATGTTGGCGGATTGTCCAAGATCTGTATTTTTTTGGAAATTCGTAAATGGCTTGACTATGAATTTTCTAATTTTAAAATTGAAATAAGGATTCTGCAAGGAAAAAAAAAAAGAAAAGGGAGAAAAATAAATGGATGGGTGCTGACAGGATCGAGAGTTCCGCCTAGTCCTGAACTGAAATTCCTTTTAGACTTGTTGACCGGCCACGTCCCCACCGTGGTGGCGACCAGATTCGTCTTCTCGGAAAAAAAAAAAAAAAAAACCATTCCGGAAGAGATTTGATTTCTTTTTAATTAAGTAACGTCGACTTCCTCGTTCCATTCGACCACTTTCATGCCGCCCATTGAAAGCATGAAGAACACAACCCACTTCGACATCATCTGCGAATCATTCGACAGAAAATTGAAAGAAGGGCTTTGGTTGCGAACCATAAATTCTCGAATGAACTGACACAAAGTTCGTACCGTGCAACGTAGGCGTAATCAAGGAGATTTCAGCACATTTAAACCCGAGCTTGCCCTAATCAGAATGATTCCAAATCCAAGTACACCATACTTCCACTCCCACCGATCAAAACAGTGGTAGCTGCCGGATTTGAGAAGAGCAGGATTAGCTTTATAGGGGATAGCCGGTATGCCTCGATTTAAGTAAACATTCCTAGTCAGTTCCAAAACAACGTTGTGTGGTTCATGTTTCCCGAGACAAAAGATCGAGACATCTTTCGATTAATCAAGTAAGTTCATTGTACCCGAGAGGGATGCTGTCAATTTAGTCGTAGGTACTGCTCCGCTTCCCTTTCTCTCGCATTATGGTAATGGTGATCGACGCGACTTGTTTCTATACATGGTGTCCAGGATTAGCACGTAATTAGCTTGATTATAGTAGGAGCGGGGGCGGGATTGAGAGGAATTAATTAACATGCGGTGAGGGTTTAGCTGTTTGAGGATCAGTCGGGCTGGTTTTGGTGGGGTTCGACCATGAACGAGGGTGATTTACGAAGATTATAAGAGGTGGAAGTCATGGTCCCTAGTCAAGAAAATTTTTCAGTCGAAAAAAAATAAAAATACTTCATCGGGCTTAAAGTTTCCCGATTAACGTATGGATATGCATTGCTTCGAAAACACCATATGAAAGGGTTGCGAGCAAACATGTAGACCATGCACATAGCAAGTGTAAGAGAGATAAATAAAGTAATCTCGCTATTAATAATCGCAAGAAGCAGCTAAATTTTGCGAAAGGAGGAACCCCTTCAATTCACTTCGAGTGTGCTATCTCGTGTCCCGATCCTTAAAAGGGTAAAACATTTTCCTTGACCTAAGAGCCTCTATCGAATTAAATGGCGCTATACTATGTATGAATAATTAGTACTGCTCGATATATTCATCTTTTACTTAGAATTTTCTGATTAAATGACGTGCCATTCGCGTATTTGATAATTATAAAGCCATCGGAATCAATGGGCTCACATTGCTCGTCCACTAATAAAGACTTGTCACATCACTTAATAGTTAGGCAGGATATTTAGTAAATTATTCTAAGTATCAATAACATTTCTCGGTTATTTCCGATAAATTTTTGGTACACAGATCGTTTGTAACTTTTTCTTTGCACCGATCAATCTTTAAAAAGATTACGTAGGACAAAGGGGCCTCACTCTCTAATATCCTATTTGCTTTGGTAATTTTTATAGGACCTTAGCTTAACATAATTGATAGCAACATGGGCAATTCACCATTCGTCTTTCCATGTCTACCTAGGTTTAGTTTGTCCCTAAATTACTATTTCGAATGCGACTTGGGAGCCGCACCAGCCATATGTTTTCTGTCTTCAAGTCAAATTTTGCCATTAAAGCTACGGGGATGTCCTATTTTCTGTGAGTATTTTAAGCCCACCATCTCCAAAGTGGGAATAATATGGACACACCAAGTTGAGGTCTGATCTACAACTAGCTAGACATCCGTCTCTCCACAGTAGGATGTACCTCTCGAGACAAGTTGCTCGACAGCTTGTTAGGGTTTAATCATATGGGTCCAATCTGCATATTATTGGGGCTAAATAGGGGATCATTGTGATCCTTCTAACTTTTAGGGATTACTCTAGTGTTTGCACATTGTGTTAAGATGTGTCCTATGGAACTAATTATTTCACTATTAGAATACCTACCTAAGCTGACCATTTAACCGCATTTAATTACCGCACCAAATGTGCTAAGCTCAATATAAATGGATCAAATAAGTGTACTTGGCTATCAAGCGATGTCGCCTGCACTTTATAAACTTCATAGAAACATGTTTTTTCACAGGTAAGAATATTATGCGATTAATGCTATCCGCGGCTTACAAAAATCTCCAACGTGGATATTATTAAGGTGGCATTTCGGGATCATAGAGCTCAACTTATTGAAATCTAATTTTGAAAATATAACCAAAGCATTTAAAACTATATTAAAACAAGTCTCTCTTTCTTTTAATTGTGCTACGGGGAAAAATCACCAAAACAGTACTAAACCTATTGTAATTATGCCAATTCAGTCCTAAACATTTTTTTTTGTCAATTCAATCATAAACCTTTTGTATTTGTGCCAATTCAGTCATCCGGCCAATTTTGGCCGGCCGGTGCTGACGTGAATGCTGGCTGTCTGGCCGACGCTGACGTGATAATTTTTAAATATTTTTATAAAATTTTCCTTTCTCTTTCCTTTTTTGCCTTTCCTTCCTCCCCTAGTCGATTGCTGGATCAGCCGGAGGCTAGGGCTGGCAAGGTCACCTTGCCGGCCGCTGGTGAGGCTCGCCCTTGACGTCGCAAGCAAGGTCGAGCCTCACCATGGCTGTGGGTGAGATTGGCCATGGCTAGGGCGAGCCTCGCCGGCCCTACCCCTGGCCTAGCTCGGGGAAAAAGGAAAGAAAAAAAAAGGGAAAAAGAAAGGAAAAAAATCACAAAAAATATTTTAAAAATTGACACATCAGCATCGGCCAGACGACCAGCATCCATGTCAGTGCTGGCCGGACAACCAGAATCCATGTCAGGGCCAGCCGGCCAAAATTGGCCGGATAGATTGAATTGACACAAATACAAAAGGCTTAGGACTGAATTGGCACAATTTTAATAAGTTTAGGATTGAATTAGCACAATTATAATAGGTTTAGGACTGTTTTGGTAATTTATCCTCTTATGAATAGGTCCTCTTCGTCACGCATGTGGACTCAACATATTCCTTCCTTTCCTTTTTGATGGGGATTATCAGCTACTTCTAGTTTCCCTCATGACCTTCTTTCTAGAATTTGAAAATTGCTGAAAAGAATGTCTATTTTTGTAGTGTATATCTTTTGGACATAACTTACCCATATTTGTAAGTTTTAAGCGGTTTTCAACTGTTTCGTGCTAAATAAAAGTTAGAGTTTGCGTGTATGTAAAGCTTATGAAAAGCCACAGATTAAAAAGTAGAAGTCATCCCAAATAGTTTTTGTATTGGCATAAAGATACTAGAAGTGACAAAAGTTTCGTACGGCACTCACTTTAGTACTAAAAATTTTCATCGGCTTACTTAAGTATCAAATCAGAGAAAAAACAATCACTTAAGTACCTCCGGCGATAAATTCTGACTAAAAAAATTACATGGCTTTTATAATTAAAAATTTTATTTGAGTTGCCATTTTTATAAATAAATAAAAACAGTCCACATGGACAGATAAAACGACGTTGCACAATCCAACATGGCTGGGTTGTGTGAAAAGACTTCATTCACTCTTGAGTGCTTTTTACATCTTCATCTCCTCCTTCACCATCATCTCCACCACCGCCTTCGGAGCCACCACCCACCACGCCAAGCACCACCACCTCCTCCACTACCTCGACGAGTTTCGCGACTGCGACGAGAGCGTCACCATCGACCCATCCATTTCCTTCGAGAAACTCCGCCTCCGCAACGCCAACGTCACCCTCCAAGCCCTGAAGGAGGCCATCATCTCCAACCCCAACAACTTCATTGCCAATTGGGTCGGCCCCTCCGTTTGCGACTACTCTTGCGTCTTCTGCTCCCCGCCCCCAACGACCCCAGTGTCCGCACCGCACTGGCATCGACCTCAACCACGGTGACATTTTCGATCGCGAATTTTAGAATCACTTTAGTGTCAAAAAAAATTTCCGTGGTGATAAAAAAAGGTGATTATAATATTTCACAATCAACACCCACCACTGCTTTCTTCCCGTCAGCGGTCACTGTAGTAAAAAATTACTCCCTCGCTGTCTTCGATCTACGACTAGGATTTGCTTCATTTTGACAAGGTAATACTTCGCCCTCAGTTCTGATAAGGAAGAGACTGAGATGTCATCTTCTCCGCTGAGACCAGGATCGCTCATGTTTGAATATGTTTCATTGAGTTGTTCATCGAGTTGGAAATTTGCATTGGTCCTTCGAGTTATCCATCTGCATTGGGGGCAAGGTTATGGACGATTTAGGGTTTTCTATTTGGGAATTTCCTTGTAAGTTGGGATTTAGGACTTATATTTTGGGGCAAAACACGTAGACATCATCATTTTGGGCTATATACGCTGACTGAGCACACCAACGAGCCACGTTGAATGGAGAAATTAATAAAAAATGGTCACATCATATTTCCGACGACCCAAATTGGAATTAGCACTTAAGTGATCATTTTATTTAAAGTAGTACTTAAGTATTCGAAAACTTTCGACACTAAAAATGAGCGCCTTATGAAAATTTTAGCGCTTCTACTGTCCTTGTCCCGTGTTTTTTTTTTTCTTGCAATAAGGAGAGATGCAAGCCTATAGGAACAATTACCAAAAAAGTTTTAAATCTATTACGCTTGTGTCAATTCAATCCCGAACCTCTTAATTGTACCAATTAAGTCTTAAACATTTTCACATTTTGCCAATTTCGGTCGATTGGCCGAAAATCACTGACGAAAACGTCAATCGTCCTACGTGGCACGGTTATTACTGTCGTGGACATTTTGAATAATTTTTTATTTTTTTTGGAGACCGACGCTCGCCGGCACTGGGCGAGGGCCACGACGCCCTCGCCAAC